ACAATGCTGTCTATTCCTGCTGTGCCCACCTATGCAGAGCTCATTATGCACTGGGCATGTTGCAATTGTCACAGGATGCCACCTAGGTCTGGTGTTTAATAAAGTAAAGCAAACTATTGCAAAGGTGAATAATTCTTCAGTTTCTTTGTTGTTCCAGGCTAAATACTCTCTTTATGGATTAAAATGTATTGATAGTATATTCTCGCACATAGGTGGGCACATTCATGTGCATATATACCAGCTCCCCCGAAATCCCCATTTGAATTCAAATTCTGCTTATTACTATATTACAGGGGTGGATTTAGAGAAATATTAATGGGGTGACCAATGGTGACAGCAGAAGGAGCGGGTTGTGTTGGCCACTTTTTGTCATTACAAATTTATCGGTGAAGGAGGCACGAGTATCCACAGATGTTACAAGATCTTTCATGGTCAGTTCCACTCACACACCGTCACCTTTTGGGTATAAAGTCCATACGAAGAGAAGAACACACACCTGAATGTGTCAAGTGTTCAAGTTAATTTATTAGGATTTGCATTGTTCATCAAGCTGCAGTTGGCTTCTGTGTTGACCATGAACAATGAAAAGGCAGAACTGGACACAATAACAAAACCCAGCACAACCACATGGTCCTCTACTGTTGGCCACTAAGCATTTCTACCAGAGCTGAATCACTATGGTTGGCGGAGGGGGAGAGCATGTTTTTTTTTTTTTTTTTTTTTTAAAGGTTTTATGCAGCTCAAGGAAACATGTCTATCATAAAAATGTAAAAAGTCAAACAATAAAAACTGTGCTGGGCCACTGCAAGTATTCTGTTCTATAGTAAGGAAAGCGACTTCTGGTTCTCTATGATCAGCTAATCTCTGGATTGAGCTGATTAACGTCTGATCGCTTTCTGCTCTAGATAGCAGCGTCTGCCAGATAATGTAAATATTAACAAACCCTCGTCTTCAGGGCTTCGTCTACCGTAGACTACATTTCAGGTTGACTGGCCTCGGGGCTAAAGCCACTGTACCACTGAGAGGTCATTTTTTGTCTGGGGATTTGGCTTTTTCTGGCTTTTTTTTTAAGCAAAGATAGTAAAGTGAGTTTACATTTATAGCGAAAAACTTACTTTTGATGGATAGTTTGTAGTTTCTTTAGAGTACAATATTTAAATTTGAATACTTTCAGGCCAATATACATAAATTATGAGTATTTTCCCACTGCATATGTATTCATTGCAGTGTTAGAAACCTACAGACACTATAATCTAAATGAACATAAACCTGAAGTAATAAAACATAAAGTCCAAGTTACAATCAAATAAACTGGTCAAAAATTTCTGAGTGTGGGGGTGAAAGGTTGGACTGATCCTACTCATTAAACAACTGAACTAAGTGGTAAAGTCACTGTGAGGGCAGTCTGGCTCTGCTTAAGTAATCCTCGGTACAAAGGTGTATTATATATAATAAAGGTGTATTTTTATGCAGCTGAATTCAGTACTATTTTATTATATTTAAAGTGCCTTTTATTATTGTCTACTCCTCCCAGTTCACTTCAAAATCTAAAATTGAACAGCAGTTACTTTATATACTCTTAAAGTACAGTTACAGTTATAAAGACAGCCTTTATAAAGAGTTATAATTAATTTAATTACTGGATATGACACATTTAATTCATGCTTTATAGATCAGTTCTAAGCCATTAATAAGAAAACATTTAGGTTGCCAGGTAATCTGTTAAAGGGAGCCAATGGGAGTTTTCACAACATGGCAACCCAAAGCTTTTTCTTTTTTATGGATAATCTATAAAGCATCATTAATAAAGCCATTATTTACAGTGCCTTTATATGAAACCTTTATAAAGCATTAGGCTATCTATTAGAAAGTGGTTCCATTTAACCTGAAAATGACTTTGATTATAGATTATTTATTTGCAACTTCTCCTTCTGGTGCATAGTAATGCCACAAAAAAATCTGACTAAAAACAATATCAAAGGCGACCTCGTATGACTAAATGGAAAATATTCTGTGTTTCGCGATGCTGCGTCCACGCTGCCGGCTCTCTCTCTCTCTGCGGGCTTTCCCGTCTGAGCTCAGCAGCCAGTCTGCAGAGACACATGCGGTTGTGGTGGTGGAGGTTTGGCTCGGGGTGTTTTGGTGTGATCTGGTTCTGGTCTATAATAATGCCATAATATCCCCCCACCATGCATACTCTGAGTCAGCCAGACAGATCTCCACAGCGCGTCGCTGCTGACGATTACGTCTAGATAGATAGATAGATAGATAGATAGATGTTTGGAGGATCTAAACGGGATTAATGTGGAGCCAGGACACAACTCTGCATGACCTTGAAATAAGGCCTGTCAGCGGGATAATTCTGACAGATGAAGGTGAGTTTCCTGCGGGCAGAGTCACAGGGGGACACAGACTCTGATTGGAGCTGAATTATGATTTGATTTTAAAGAGTATTAGATTTTTAGATTACTTCTGAGGATGAATGAAGAGTTTCACGGTGGTTCAGAGGCGGTCACCAATACGCATGTGGGTTGGAAACGCCGTTTGGTCTGATTTAGTCCTGAAAGTTTATATTGCCGGTGAGATGTCCAAAAGCTCCAAAAGCTGAAGGTCCTCTCCTCAGCCGTCCTTTGCCCTATCACTGAAGGTTTTATAGATTATAGTTACAACACAGGTGTTTTTTCCACTTTGTCACTCTATAGACGTGGCTAGAAACGCGTGGACTTTCTGAGATAAGATGATAAAATAACTTTGTTGTTTGTGAGTACTGACTAGTTGCCCTCAACGGGAGTCCAGGTATTATCTGACTGGTACCTGTTAGAGAGCAGTGAGACCAGCGTCAACCCAGACGAGAACATCCGACTAGGACTCAGCTTTCAAAGTAAAACCGTAACGACCGCAGTGAAGGGCACCTCTGTGGTTTGGCAGTGACGCAACAGATGCAGAGGTGAGAGGGACTTTTTAATTCTGAATCCACTGACTGAACAGCTAAAGGAAGAAAAAGTGCGTGTGGGAGAGGGGAGGAGGAGAGAGGGGGAGGAGAGAGGGGGAGGGAGAACTGCAAGGCACGCAAGAGAGAAAAAGCCTCCTGGACCCGCGTGTTCTTTTATTTTGAAATCAGACTGTATTTGTGTGTGTGTGTGTGTGTGTCTGAGTCTTGAAGTTGACTGCAAGGAGCCGCAGGCCAGCCTGTTGCGCACTTGGCGGCACACACAGACAGAGCGCACCAGAAGCTGCGTGGATGGACAGTGCCTGTGATGGACTTCCCTTAATGACTTTTATGGCTAATTTATGATTGGATTCCCACCTCGGGTCGACTTTTCTTCTCAATTGACAGAGGCTCATTACAGCGTGTCACCGCTGAGCGGATACAGCCTTTAACGCATCCCGGGAGCAGGGACAAAAAGGGAATCTCGAGGTGCGTGTGTACCTGTGCGTATGTATGTGTGTGTGTGTGTGTGTGCGTTATTGGATGTAGATGTTTAAACTTCTCTCTGGAAACACACAGGTATTGCTCCTGTGTGTGTGTGTGTGTGTGTGTGAGAGTGAGTGCA